TGTGCAACGGGATCATTGACAATGCGTGAGGGTCTCGATGGCCACCCAGCGGGCACTCCCGGGGTAAGGGGGGGCAACTTGAAAGTCGAGCCTGTATCCGTAAAAGCGTCTCCTGATAACCTCATTCGGAAAACACGGTTCACGATTCACGACGGCAACTCCAGCACGACTCCAGAGGCTCAGCCTCCCTTTCCGCTCCCCACCGCCCTCCCTCCCCGCAACCGCCTTCACGATCCACGACCCGATAATACCGCTCCTACTCCTTAAACGTCTCTGCTAACATCGCGACTTGTCTATTTTGGGTGAACTGGAATACTCAAGCCACCCGGTCCAGTGGACGTCACGAGAGGAATGGATAGGGCTCGAGAGTCTCGGTGTCTCACAGCCGGGGCATGCGCGACGGGCGGGCGCTTCGCGCCTCCTAATTTGCGCAAGCTGCATCGGGAATCGCCTCTGGCTTCTCACCATCTTCCTACTAGTGCTTTTATGATGCATAAGTCCCTTTTGCATGCGACCGTCGTCTGCAAATTCGAACGTGCATAGTGCGGTGTACAACCTCAGTTGCTACGAATAGAAGCACGACATAAGAAAGCAACAAGCAACAACAAAACCTGCATCCAGAACCCCGAAGCGTCATTTCGGCCACGAGTGGTGGGTTGCACTCAGGCCCAACACCGGCGCTGCTGCTCCAGCGACGATCACTCCCTTCATCCTGGATGCAGAGACGTCCGCAAATAAGAAAGAAACAAAGAAACAAAGTGCCCCTCCTCGGGCCCTCAGACCAAGGAACTCCCGGCTTCTGAAGCTGTCGCGGCTCTCCCCTTTTACGGGGGTTCCATGGCGGCGACAACGGCGAGCCGGGTTAAGGGGCCGGTGGGAAGAGATAGCGGCAGTTGTCCGGATCTGCCTTGTACGCCGGCACGCACACGCACACACATGTTTTTGTCGCACCGGCAGCGACATAACCGATGGAGGGGATATCGCTGCATGGCATATCATTGCAATTCATCATCCAGATCCACTGCACAAACAACGCAATCACCGTCGTCCGGGTTCCTGCCAAGGCGCGATGTTGGTCGAGTTATTTTTCTGGTATCTTTCTCCCGAGCAAATGGACGAACGACTCCATTCGGCATTCTACCCGTTGAGACTGAATGATTCAGAAAACCCGCGATACGAACCAAAATCCAAGACAGACCCTGACTTTCTATCCGAGGAGAGACAGAAGCATTCCTTCCTCTTGCGTCTGACTTACTGGCATCGTCCGAAGAAAAAGCATCGCGGTGTTGTCTCATGTGTCGCGGGGCAATCACAAGACACCCATCACCTCATCCCAGAACAATGAAGCCACCATCGTTGACTCCCGCCCTGCCGTCGTTCCGGGGGGACCGTACGTAGTGCAGACAACGACAAGACCAGCTTGAGAGACGAAAAGTCAATCGCAATGCTTGGCCTGTCAACTCACCAGTGAAAAGTATTCGATAGATCACTGGCACTATCTCATTAAGCTAATCTCGATGGGCACTATAAAGCTTGTCATTGGCCGAGACTTCTTGGTTCGCCCCATTTACGGATCGCTGCACCCGTCTCCAATCGTATTTCACAACTCGCGGGCACTACAGCAGTCGTCGTAAAAACTTACGGATATCTTTCATAAAATGCTCTCATTCGCTATCTTCCATACATAACTTCACAAAACCCCCTTCATTGGATTTGACGGGCCCCCTTGTTGCTGACAGACCACACCACCTCCACCGAGGAAGGACTCTCTCTGAGTCTGCCCGACCAGGAACATTTTGCAACCCTGTGCGGCCATTGCCACCAACAGTCCTTTTCGACTCTTTTGCAGGTTGCACTCGGTCCGCCTCCTGAGCGCAAAAAATAAGACGTGATCCGACCCTGCCCATTGTATCTCTATATCTGCTGCGAGACACAGCTGCAGGCTGAGTCGTGTGAGCTGATTTGTCTCTGCTCCAATAGCCCAGACCTGTGACGGCTTTTATCGAGTTTTCCCTCCTATGCCGCCTCGTTTGCCGCGAAAACGCTCGCTCAAGTCTCGGTGAGCAGTCCTAGTGCAGCTTAATCTCGGCTCGTCTCGTCTCGTTGCGTCCTGAAGAACCCCCTGTCTCTCCCCCTCTCTGCCCCAGTGGCCATCTCGCCGGGTTTCATATCTCAGCCTCGCGTGGCCGCCGACGCTGAAGTGTCCACCACCTGGTAAAACTCCGGCGCGTATTCCACAAGCCAGTCCTTCTCGATCTTGGTGATATCCCGGATGAATATCTTCTTGCTGGTCTCCATGACCTCGTGGAAGATGACCCAGTCAGCCTTGCGGTTGAACATGAGCGAGCTCGGGTGGGCATGGAGCGTCGTCTCGCCGGTCACGTTGCGGAACGTCCCGTCCGGCTGCATCCTCGCCGCGTGCGCAAAGTATCCTGCCGTGAGACACCGCCGTATCTGCTCCGCCTTTTTAACGTTGTCTTGGCCCTTGGCGCCGAGGGACTCTTCGACCGTGATGCCGAACTTTTCGAGATATCGCTTCAGCTGCGCACGTATACTCACCGCGCGCGTCAGGGTTTTGAAGTTGAGATTGTGATCGCGGGCGAACTTGGACTCCTTTTTGCCCTTCATGACGAAAGCTTGGTAGACGTTGAGCAGGGTTAAGTGGTCGCCTTCCTCGGCCGCAAACAGCCGCCTGGAGGTCTCCATCTGCTTGCGCTCGCCGTCGTGGTAGAACCAAACGTTGTTCCCACCTGCAGAGGTCATCGCCGCGATGGTCAGGATCTCGCTGAGGCAGCCGAATGATGAGGCGCTGAGGAGAGTTTTGCCCATCATCGGCTCGACGGCGATCTCTGCCATCCTGTAGCCCAGTGGTTTCGTGAGCTTTGCATAATCGTCGAGTGCTCCCAGTGAGTAGAGTAGTTCCAAGGCTTTGGCCATCAACTCCGCCGGCGGTGGGCTGAGGAAGTTAAAGCGGAGGACGTTGTCGATGCCCAGCGCCTTCAGCTGCAAGATGAAGGGTGCGAGATTAGACCGCTGAACCTCAGGGACGGTGAACTCGGGTAGATTCAAGAAAGATTCTTCGGTGTAAAGTCGGAAACACTTGCCCGGTCTCGTACGTCCTGCTCTGCCGGCGCGTTGGTTTGCTGAGGCTTTGGAGATAGGGGTCGAGATGAGAGACTCTATGCTCGTCGTGGGATTGTACGCCCTGAGCTTGGCAAAACCGCAGTCGACGACATAGACAATGCCGTCGATAGTGATGGACGCCTCAGCGATGTTGGTCGCAAACACGACCTTTCTTGTGCCCTCGGGCGGCTTGTCGAAGACATACATCTGCTGCTCCGTGGTGAGACCCGCGTAGAGCGGGAGTGCCTGCAACTTCTTTTCTTGACTTCGCAAGTTGAGGAGACGATCAGCGACGGCCTGGCAGGCTTCATCAATCTCCTCGCGGCCGGTGAGAAACACCAGGATGTCTCCTTCGTCTTCATTTTCGTGTATGTCAAAGACAGTTGAGATGGCCTTTTCGAAATAGTTTTCCGTCGGTGACTCGAGATAGAGTAGGTCCACGGGGAAAGTTCTTCCTTCCAGAGATATGATGGCAGACTTATCGTCGCCAGGAGTGGCAGCCTTTGTCGTGCTGTCATCGCCCGGTTTTGTCGTGATTTTCTGATCCCCGTCACCTGGGCTGGTTGTGAAGAACTTCAGAAACTCTTCTGCCTGCAATGTGGCACTGCTGATTATGACACGCAAATCCGGTCGCTTCTTCAGAATCTTCTTGAGCAGGCCTAGGAGAATGTCGGTGCTGATGGAGCGTTCATGAGCCTCGTCCACCATGATGACGGAATACCTCGTCAGCAGTGGGTCTACGAGAGCCTCTCTGATGAGCAAACCGTCGGTCATGAACTTGATGCGAGTCTGGGCGGAGGTGGCATCTTCGAAGCGGATTACATAGCCCACTTCCTTGCCTATCTCGCAGCCGAACTCTTCCGCAACTCGCACGGCAACCGTTGTCGCAGCGACTCTTCGAGGCTAAGGTAATATTAGCATGTGCCGTCATGAATATTGAGAATTACGAGTAACCTACCTGCGTGATCCCAATGACCTTGCCATCTGCACACCATCCCGCTGCCTCGAGGAACTGGGGAATTTGGGTGGTCTTACCGGAACCGGTCTGACCAACAACGATGGTGACCTGTTTCGTCTCAATGAGATAAAGCAGCGCCTTGCGGTGCTTAGCAATTGGCAGCAGCGCAGTCGGCTTATGCAAGGCTGGGATGAATGCCGAGTTAAGGTCGAAGTCGGCCATGTTTGATGCTGAGCTTCAACAGCTTTTGAATAATGCCGAAAAAAAGAAATTGCACTTCGCGAACGACAGAGACACCGCTTCTAAGGCTGTTGAAATCTGTGTATAAGTATTATGACCTTTAAATTGGCCTCAGCTTATTATTTTGGCCTCAGTTACACATCATGTCAACTGATGCAAGCCACTTCTTGGTGTTGTAAGTGCATTGGCGGCCTATCTGCCTGGTGGGTGAAGTCGGTGGTAACTATGTTTGCCAAATAGCCCAGCTGCAACCAGCTGCCGGGTCACATGGCAAGTGTCAGCAGTGTCAAACGATCTTTACCCGATTGGCTCAGGAAAACCCACACTCATCACCAGCCACCAACCGCCAGTCAGCGCTGTGCCTATCGAGTCCTCCGTGGCTGTGACGCAGTGGCTCAGGAGGAGCTCAAGCTCCTGTCCCGTGTCAAATTGGCCGCCTCGAGGCCTGGAGGCGCGGGCGCGGCGTCATCAGCAGCCCAGCTCGCAGCCCACTTTAATATCATCTCGCCAGCTCCCTAACCCCTCGCTCGGCGCAACAACGACCTTGCACAACAACCTTGGGAGAACAGTCCTTCTTAATTGTCTAAAGAGACCTTGCGTTTAAGGCTTTCATTGCGACCCATACCGGTCACACATATTCCAGGTTCTCCAACGTATTAAGTAGTCGACCTGCGTAGTCATGTCTGCTCCTAACGAAACAGTGCGCCATCCCGCCTCGAAACACTCTACTTTATGCGATGTTCCCTGTGGCTGACACCTCATCTCTGTTGTGACTTTAGAACAAGAACACCTCGTCCAGTGGACCCGAGTCTCCCACTACAGTCAAACCCCTGGATCTCAGCGACGACGAAGACGTCCAGGAGACAGGAATCCTCGGCGGTGAAGACAACCATCAAACCAACACCAACGCAACCACCACCAACACCACCAACATGGCGTCCTCGACACCCGCCACCGAGGCCGCCCCTCCGAAGCCCCCGAGACCTTCTACCGAGAACCAGAAGACCGAGGATATTCTGAAGGAAGCATTCCCGAGCATCGACATCGCGGTTATCAAGGCTGTTCTGAGAGCCAGCGGTGGACAAATCGACCCTGCCTTCAATGCCCTGCTTGGTGTGTCGCGTGCCCATCCACGTTCCGGCCCACAACTAACAATGCATCACAGAAATGACGGATCCCGATGCAGCTCGTAACGAGCCCGAACAGGAGAACCCTCCCCCTCAACCCCCTCGTCCCGCCGCCGGCCCCCAGCTGTCTCAGCTCGAGGCGGACGAGCTTTACGCACGTCAGCTTGCTGAGCACTTTGATAATGTTGGCAACTATGAGGCTAGGACTGCGAACCGCAGCCCCGGCGGTCGCGTCAGACGCCAGCAGACTGGTCTTGAGCCCCGAGTGAATGCCGAGGACCGTGAGCACAACTTCTTCGACGACGAACTCCCAGTCATCCAGGAGAAGCTCCGCAAGGGCTTCATGGAGACCCAAGGCAAGGTGAACAGCTGGATCACGACCATGAAGAAGAGGTTCGATGAGGAATTTGCCGAGGAAGATGAGCATACTCAGCGGCCTGGTCAGGGCCAGGGACAGTACGGTGGCAGACGTCCTGGGGAGTCGAGCCGTAGGAGCGGTGACTATGAGAGATATGACGCCGATCCCCAGGTGCTCAGCGACGATTTCGCAGGCATGAAGTTTACTGCGGATGGTAGTAAGTACAGACTCATAGTTGATAACAACCAACCCAGCGCTAATCGCGAAGCAGCTCCACTCCGCGGTGATAACAGGCCGTTGTCCAATCCTGATCTATTCAAGCCCCCTCCGCCCTCCAAGTCGCCCAAGCCTGACGGGCGCAAGGTCGCTTTCCGCGAGGGTACTGAGGAGATTGACGTCTACGGATCGTCGCCCAGAGTTTCTGCCGAGGACAGCACGGGGAAGACGAAATCTAGCAAGTGGCAGCCTCTCTCGACGGTCGAGCCTAGCCCGATCAACGACAATGACCCGTTCAGTTTGGGCGACAGTGAGGACGAGAGAGAGGCCAAGGAGAAGGCTGCGACAAAGGACGTGAAATCAGACGACAGTGAAAGGTTGAAGAAGGCCGCTGCGGAGGCAATGGCGGACAGCCTCGTCGATGCCAAGGATGGCGAGTCGGCGGGTGCGGCGGCCAAGAAGAACTGAGTAGCAGAAGGCGACGGGAGGCATTGTGAGATGGAAAAACTGTTGGTTACTGGTTCCTACGACTTTCATTTGCAGATATCCAGCCCCTGGCTTGAGCAGCAACAAGAGCCTAGCAAAGGGTCATCGGGAGGCAAGGGGATCGGGGCACCCTAATTTGTTTCTGAGGAAGCGTAGTCATCACAATCCTAAATTGAATGCATTTGCAGCAGTTGACAATGTGCCACTAGCGGTGACGAGTCAGTTGGATGTGGAAATGAAGGTCAGACGGTGGTGGATGATGATAAGTCGTCGGCGAAGTCCGCGTGTCGTGTTGAGAGATGGTAAGAGAGGACGAATCAATGAGAGAGATCTGCATCTGACGTCGTCGTGAGACATCTCACCTGCGGAAACCCGTCGTCGGAAGTGGAACATTGTCCCGGTGAATGACACGGCAACACGCGGATGTAAACGGGGGGGCGTCAAGGGCAGGGTCCGGTCATCAAGGGACTGGCCAGAACCCGAAGTCTGGACTTCCGGTAGAAGGCGATGCTGTGTTGAGGCAAGCTGGGTAGAAGACGAGAATAGGACGCACAGCACTGCAGTAGGTAACGTCGCAGTCGAAGACAAGGGACCCGCTTGACGAGCGATCTGAAGAGAGAGGCACTCGGGGTTTATTACCGGGCCGACTGCATGACGATTGTTACGATCTCAATGCTACTGAGGGGTTGCCATTTTCAAAGTCCCTCAACGGCTACAAGTTTACTAGGAGGGCTGGAGGGGCCAGGAACAAGGGAGAGGACCTCACGAATTGGAGGTTGCTGAATGGTGAGGGGAGCTCGTTTGTCTGCCCCGCATCAAATTTGTTTTTCAGTTTTTTTTTTCTGCCCAGCAGCCCGGCTACTTCCGTACGAGTTGGATGCCGTCTTGCATTTCTGCTGCAGGCGTTGCACTTTGGGGACCACGAGACTGGGTGTCGTCGTTTTTTTCGATTCTCTTTTTTCTTTTTTCCAGGGACCATCTAGCTTAGCTAATGTTAAGAACGTGCTCCAGAATTGTGGTCTCCTCTGCGGAGTAAGGTGGTTTCCAGCGGAAATACGGAATTTGGGGTGCGGTGAGGGTACCCAGGCATAGGTAAGTGAGTTGAGCAATGAAGAAAGAGAGAGAGAGAGAGAGTACCTTAGACAGCTGTCGGAGCATTACGGTGGACTTCAAGGGTGATATGCCGTGGCTCTCTCACGATCACCCAGAAGAGACGGAGTCTTCTGGGCTTGGGCTTTGGCACAGAGTAGAATAATTCCGAGGAGAGAAAATGTCCGTCACGGGGGGGAAAGAGGAACTTGGAGTCCATGTTCTGGCGCGGAAAATTCTTTCTGGTTTCTTGAATTTCGAGTGCTCGGAAGCATGTCGTTGGCATATGTCTTAACATGGCGTCTTGGGGATTCAGCCTCGCACTTGGCATGTCGAGCAGAAAACGTGGTTCATCCGCGAGGCGCTATTGGCCGGCGATCTGAAGACTTGGCTTTGAGGGGTGACGCGAAGAAGGGGGGGGGGGGCCTACCACGGTTCATCCTTGAGCAAGCAAGCTGTGCCGCTTCTGACAGCAAGTACCCAACTACTTTTACCTGTTACAGGCAAGTACACACGAAGTACGCAGGAGACGTAGGCCAATCGTACGGTTCCAACCAAGTACGAAGCAAAGGTGCAAAGGTGCCTTGCCTTGGTTGGTTGGCATGCGGCTAGAGGTACAGCTAGCCGGCTGCAGGACTCGAGACGAGAGTCGGAGAGAATTCTACGACGAACGAGTATTTTTGTCTCCAAGATAGACGAAAAAGCAAGTCAGGAAACCCCACGTGCTCAACTCCTCGACAGCTCTCTTACCTGGCCCGGAAGCGCACGAGCGTTTTTGATGATGTGTGAAGTTACCACGTCTAGGTTCTGCCATGTTCGTGTGCTCCTCATGTACCCAGCTACTGCTGCATAGCAGTATTAGTAGGTACTATGGTAGATGTGCGTCGAGACTGCGTGCATGGCATGTCACCCGTTCCGTTTTCTTGTCTTATGAGCCGTCGCGTGAAGCTTCCGGAGTAGGTAGGTAGGCATATGCTCGGGATACCTGAAGACGACAGGTGTTCGCGATGCAGCCAAGTGGCCCATCGACGTCTGCGTTGTGTGGGAGACTTGCCCAGTACAGACACACATATTTATGGACTGCCCAAGTAGAGATACCTGCGTGAGAGCAGAGATGTCTGTTGCAGTGCGACGTGCAAGGGTGCAGAGCTGCGAGACGTACCCCGCACCTGCCTGTCGCTAACACAAGCGGGCAGTTCAGTGTGAGCAGCAGCAGCAGCAGCAGCAGGGGGGCCGCTGGAGGATGATCGGGATGGACAAGAGCGCACCGGCTGAATGCCCCACAATTTGGCCGTCACTGTTGCTGCTCAGCCCCTCCAATTGGACAGACCGGCGCAGTGGTTGGCCAAGAGCCGGCCGGCGCCCATTGGATTTCACGGGCTTGGGTTGGGTTCTAGTGCAAGGTTCTGCTCCGGTCCCCAGTCGCTACCTACCTTACGACACCACGGATACCAACCACTGACCAACCCTACCCACCTTGCCTTGGTCCCCCAGTCTCCATTCAGTTCGACTTTGGAGAGCCTGCCCGTGGTCCATGGAGCTTGCTTGACAGGTCCAGCGAGAAAGAGGAAGACCGGGAGAGAGAGAAAGCGAGAGAAGGCACACCTCGCCTGCGTCAACGCCTCACTCATACCTACCTACCTTACCCATGCGAATACCCGACCCGAACTCTAGATCTACCTAGACCCGAGGTGCCGCTCTACATCTCCCTTACGCCGCCATACGTTCGACTGCCCTCTTCTGGTCACCCTGCTGGTTTCTCTGCTACGTCCTCGGTTCTCGCAACTGGCAGAGTTGCAGAACGCAATTCACCTTTCCCACCTTGCTTGAACCTCGACGGCTATCCAGACTTACCTCATATCTCACTTTCACGCACACCCACGTAGTCCAACCAAGGCCACCACCCGCGCCGCAACGACACCGTCTCATTGGCATCCGAACGCCGCCAACCGCCATCTACCTAGCTGCAGCAACTCCAAGTACAAGTCCTTGGTTCGCTTGGGCCGTGTCCCTCTTTTGCCTGGTAAGCGTCGCCATTCCTCTAGCAGACCCCTCGTGATCTTCTCCCATTCGCTGCAAGTCAAGTTTGGTTGCCTGTGCAGTCCTTATCAAGCATCGTTTATTATACCAGTACTCTTTGCTCGAGCCTCATTCCGCTTTCACATATCGAACACTGGTTGCTATTCTCGTCAACGGCACCTCCGTTCTTGTAACCCCCTTCTGGCAAGCGAGGTGGTAACAGGAACCAACACTCCTGGCCGGTTCCAATTAGTCCTTGTCGACCCGGCTCAGCAGGTTGCTACTTTACCTGACACCCCCTGCCACGATCAATACATCACGAGCTACCGGCCAGATCGTTCCCTGCCATCTGGGGATCCAAACTTGGATAAGACAGCCCTGGACCGACAGTGTCGCCGGGGTATTAGGAGCCCAACGGGCAAAACTGGCGCTGACATGGGATATTGCCCTCCGCTGCCAGCAACTATGCACGTCCATTCACCACTCTCGATGCCCCCACGCAGCCTCTCCTCTTGGTTTCTCTTACCTACTCGTCGTAACTGCTCCCATACATTACGTCTGGCCATGCCCATGCTATGCTCAATGCGTTGGACAGGCCCCCTCTCTTGCACCACAACATAGCAGTCACCGAGCACCGAGGCACGCCCGGGATAGCTTCAGCCTAGCCCCCACCAACATCTCCATTCTCGCTCGCTTGAGGCGTCTTACGCAGCCTGAGTTGTTCTCTCTGTATGGATACCTCTTCAGGGGTCCTTCTCCTCCCGCGCATGTTCCGAAAGTCCAGAGCTCCAGTTACTTCGTACCTGTATGGGCCAAGCGGCCAGCCCGCTGCGGGACAGAACACCAACCCCGAATGCTTATGTTCTGTTTATTCGTTTGAGAGATCTGTTTTCTGACTCAATCAACAGCTTCTAGTCTTCTTCGAGTTGAGTCTATACTTGCTCTCGACTGTCGCTCCATCCTGCACTCCCCCGGGTCTCATCATTCCAGCCTGCAAGAAAAACACCCAAGGCAACCAACACCTTGAGCGGTCTTCTCCTCTTCCCACAAGCAACTCACGCCACCCAAGAGCCCCCACGTGCGACTCTGATCCTTCTTTCAGCCGTGTCCAAGACACTGTTGCCGCCCGTCGACGTCACCTAGTACATCCTTGTGGCAGTCACCCACTTTGCCTGCCGCGGCGACAGACGCAAGTTGGCAGAGCTCTTTTCTGTCATTCTGCATACATCCGCCTGCAGACTACTTACCTCCGGCTTGCAAGTATTGGAGTGATAGCATATTGTTGCTGTTCAAGCGAATTCCATCGCCTTTGGACGCCGTGATCTCACGGGCGTCCGTCCATCATGTGAGTCTCGTCCACGAGTTCTTCTGCGCCCCGTCTTATAAGTGCTCAAGGCATTGGCGCAGACGTACGCTAATATCTAACACAGGAAGTTCGGCAAGCAAATTCAGAAGCGCCAGCTTGAGGTCCCAGAGTATGCCGCAAGCTTCGTCAACTACAAGGCTCTCAAGAAGGTATGTGAAGGCTTTTCAGTAAACCCAAATCTGTCTCTGCGATCTCATCCCCCGGTGCTCATCCGCTTTGGGCGGCGCGTGGTGAAGAAGACCACAGAAAAAAAGAAAAAAAAAGCAGAGCACGAGGACTTAGTCACTCGGTACCCAAAACTACCCCCTCAGGGATTAGGGGATGGAGCAACCCCCCATGACATTAACCAAATAACACACGGCATTGCAACTGACACCGGGCCGTATTCTAGCTGATCAAGAAGCTGTCGGCTACGCCCACGTTAAGCGCACAAATCGATCCTCTGCGCTCCGCAATATCTATAGACTCCCAGGCGGCTCTTCAGGCCAACAAGGCCACCTTCTTCTTCCAACTGGTAAGTTTCGACCATGGGCCAGTGCAATGAATATCCCACCATACCTGCTAACTCTTGAACAGGAACGAGAGCTCGAAAAGGTCAATGCCTTCTATTTGCAAAAGGAGGCCGAGGTATGCACTCATTTTCCTTTGTCTGCTGCAATGCCTCGCTCGACTTGTCTTAACCCCTTATTAGCTCAAGGTCCGCTTGAAGACTCTTCTCGACAAGAAAAAGGTGTTGCAGTCGCGTAATGGCGTTTCCAGACGATCAGCAAAGTTCACCACGCTCGAAGAGGGCTTCCAACAGTTCGCCAGTGACCTGAACAAGCTCCAGCAGTTTGTTGAGATCAACGGTACCGCCTTCTCCAAAATCCTCAAAAAGTGGGACAAGACATCAAAGTCCAAAACCAAGGAACTCTACCTCTCCAGGGCGGTGGAAGTCCAGCCCTTCTTCAATGCCACGGTCATCAGCGAACTCTCCGACCAGGCGACGACCAGTCTGCAAGAGCTTGGAGCTTGGGCCGAGGGAGACCATGTCACCTTTGACCCACGAAATGACCACATCGTGAGCAGTCAACATCTGCTTGGGACCGACGAGGGCGATGCCGACACGCTGCTGCTTGATACCGTTATCTCCGGAAACCTGGAGGCGTTGAGGGATCTGCTCGTTCGGATGCGGTCTGCGGCGCTTGGCTCGTCCTCGGGATCCGAACTCTCTCTGATGGAAAGAATTACCAGGACTTTTCTTGCAGCAATCCACGAAGCACCGAAGGAAACCCTGCAGGTTCTACTCGAGACGGGCTTGGTTGACATTCAGTCGGAAGATGACATCAACGAGAGGAATTGCCTACATCAAGCTGCCATCTACGGAAACAATTTTGTTCTCGAGTATGGCATCACTAAAGGCGTTGCCGTCGACCGTACCGACGTGTATGGTAGGGTCCCTTTGCATTACGCCAGTATGCATGGCCGCTTGGACATGCTCGATGCCCTCTCCACTGGTAAGTTGAAGAAGTTGAGCCTGTGCCCGTGGGCGAGTTTGCTAATCTTGGGTTGCAGCGAATGCCCAAACGATCGATCTGATCGACCACGACAACTTTACGCCGCTTGTACACTCGATAATCCACGGACATCTGCAGTGTGTTGAACGACTTCTGGTGAAGTCCGCCCGCATCGACCCGGTGTCTGACGCAGACCATGTACCACTTAATCTTGCATGCGAGCACGGTTCGCTGGCAATCGTGGAATTGCTGCTCAAGCATGGGGCACAGATCCTCCCCGACGCCGAAGGACTCTATCCCCAACATCTTGTTGCTCGGTCCGGGCAACGGCCAGAGCTCCTGCTTTTGCTGAAGAATTACGGCGCAAACCTCGATCAGATTGACAAGCTATATGGGTGGACACCGCTGGTCCATGCCGCGAGCGAGGGCAACGTGCCGTGCCTGCATGCTCTCTTGGAAGTTGGAGCCGATCCAAACATCGTCGACGAAAAAGACCTGCCGGCAATGTACTACGCCGCCTGGGAAGGCCATTTGGAGTGTATGAAGCTACTGACTCCCTACAACGCGAGGACAAAACCGAGCCCGATGGTCACACATTCCGGAGGTTTAGTTCCAATGCTGACGAGCAGTGGACCTGAGCCGATGGCTCTCGATCCCGACGCCATCCCCGAACTTGAGCTCCCACCGCCGATAATACCGCTGCGCCGCTACGGACATAACTTCCTGGACACAAAGACTGTCATTCAAATTAGCTTCGAAGAAAACGGGGACCAGCCGCTGGTGTTCTTCCACGATGGCAAATATCCCGCTGCACGCCTCACCATCTCGTCCAAGGTTTCTGATCTCATTCCCAAGAACATCATGCTGCCTTTCCAAGAAGATACCCGGCTTGTTTCCTTTCAAATTGATAACCTCGAGTCTTTTACCCTGGACTTCGACGTCTTTCCCACCTATGGAGCGAAGATCATTGGCAAGACGGTGGCACTCCCGAATACGTTCAAGGCGCTGCTCAGCAGCTCCGGAAAATGCTGTCTGCCCCTGTTTGACCCCAGACTGCGCGCAATCGGTCAGATCAGCTTCCACACGCAGGTCATCAAACCCTTCAATGGAAAGCCGCTGGAGATCACCGATTTCGAGACGTATTGGAAGGCAACAAGCCAGTTTGACCGCAGCCCAAGCACATTTGTGACGGGCTCGAGTCTGTCTGGAGACTTTGTTCGGTTGTTTGTCCAGCACACCAGCGATGGTGTACCAGTCTTGTGGCCGAGGTGGACGATCCCATGCGGCGGGATTGATTTGCCAATCTCGAGGTTAACGATGGAGCAATTCAACACCATCACGTCTAAAAGCCCAAGCCGAGACGAGCTGTCCTCGCTGCCGTCGAAGCAACTGGACGCGATCGCTGATGTCCATCGTGTTCTGGCCACGGCAGGTATTCCTCTTAATGAGGCATTGGCTTTGCTTCCCCACGGAATGCATGTCAATATCCAGGTCCTCTACCCAACGCCCGAAGAGGAGCGGACCCAGGGCCTTGGGCCGTCGCAGGATCTTAACACGTTTGTTGACTCCTTGCTTACGATTGTATTTGATCATGCGCGCGCCCAAAGAGCCCAGTCCCTCGAATCGGTCCGTTCTGTTGTCTTCAGCTCATACAACCCGAGCCTCTGTACGGCACTTAACTGGAAGCAACCAAACTTCCCAGTTTTCTTGTGTAACGACCTTGGCCGGGAAGACTCAATGTCGCCACCAGACATTATCCAGAGCCATGGACGCAGGTCCGCGTCGATCAAGGAGGTTGTCAGGATTGCGCAGAGCAACAACTTCATGGGTTTGATTTGCTGCTCAAGATTATTGGTATGTAATGCTCGTTTCCTTGTATGCCTTGACATTGCCCGCTGATAACATCCAGGAAATGGTCCCTGCTTTGGTTGATGCCATCAAGTCACATGGGCTGGCGCTTGTCACGGACAAGTCGCTGGACCCTTCAAATACCAACTCCCTCTCTGACCCATTCCCGAGGCTGCCTAAGGGGGTGGACGGTGTGCTGAAAAGTCATGGTGTTTTGCGCTTCAACGAGTCCATCGATGTGTAATGCCTTTACAGATATTTTAAGAGTCTTGTAATTACGCGTCATTCAGAAAATAGACTTGCGCGCTCTGCCCTGATGAGCAGTTCCCAGCCGAACTCCAATTCCCAATCATTACATGCTTTAAGCGACTACAGGTCATCAATCTGGCATTATTCGTGAAAATGCATTCCCCGTTTTGTTAGCATCTGCTCAGGCGCCCTTGTAACCATACTTGAGCGCACTTAATTCCTTTTCAGGGTCGACGCTGGCCATGACCACCTTTGCGAGGATAATGACTATGTACACAATGGCAGGTAAGTTTCCCAGCCCGACGTGCCCGAAGGTATCCCTCTCGCCGGACTTGGTCACCATACCCGTTAGAACTAGCATCGCGCAGAGGCCCAAGTTGAGGTACGGGAGGTACTGCTCCAGAGGGGACTTGTGCTGCTCGGTGAAAGAGAAGGAGCTCCGTCTGCGCCGACGCGTGGTGGTCGAAGGGCCGGGCTGATACTGGTAGGAGCTCCCGGAGACCGAGGAGACGGAGGACTCGAGCGAGGAGGAGGGGCTTGTGTGCGGCGTCTTGGGCCTAGACCAGGCGTCAATGAAGGTGATGCCCGTCTCCCCCGGCGCCTGGGTGTGTAGGAGGTAAGCCGTCGACAAGAGGGAGGTAATGGAGAGGAGGGAGGCCATCATGGACGTCAGGCGCAATAGCGAGATGAGGTACGGGATTGTCGTGAGGACTGGCAGGGCGAGGAGAAAGGTGCGGAACTGGGCGTTGCGAGCGGCGTTGTCGTCCGCTAGTTGCTGAATGAGCTGCTCCTGCTCTGTTCGGGCAGAGGTCAGCAATCCGTGCGATTTGACGGCGAGGTTTGGAGGTTGGGGTCGCTTACCTTCTTCGTCCATGGCTTCGGGTTGCGAATCTGCTGAATCGTCGTCCGTGGGGTAATGGAATGTTCGCCGCAGACGGGCGCCTGCGCCCCTGGATTCTGCCATCTAGATGGGCCTCGTGCAGCTGTGATGTTTTGTAAGTAGTATCGTTACGGTCGCGAAGCTTTGCGCGATGTCCACGTTATATTTTGTGGTGTTTTGTCAGTCGTCGCAAAGGGAAACGTGGTGGTGAGATATATCACCTGGCGGGTGTACTTAGGAGGGGAAAGAATCAGCTAAATGCAAGCAGGAGCTTTGATAGGCAACCTTCAGCGCAGAGCAATGACAACTCAGCCTTATGACGCGCGCCGAATGGCCATGCGAACATGGATGTGCATTGTAAATTGATTGGACGAAGCTCAGCAAGGCTTTTTTGGGGGGGGCTTGCTGGTGCTCTCATTTTTTCCCCCTCTGCGCGGAGGACCCTGCCCAGAAGATTGGGGGCGTTAGAGCTAGGCCTGGGCCCGCCCACTACTGAAGCCGACCGCATGACCTGATTCGGGAATCTGTTGAGTTTTCGTCGCAAACCACCACGCACGTCCTACCACGACTCCGACATCTGGAACTTCCTGGGCAATAGCTAGGGCTCATACAGTTTGCCAGACATGCTTTCAAGAACAGTAACGAGGCGGCTCGCCTCCTCGCTGCGCAACGCCGCTGCACGACCACAGTCACAACTCAGGAACCAGACACAACGGAGATGGGCAACTGCGGCGCCGAAGCCGGGATCAGGGCCCTTGATGGAGAGGCGGGCTGATAGAGAGCTTCCGGGTAAGCTCTCCCTCTTACTTCCTTAGCTTCACCTGCCTGCCTGTTTACTACTGGCCCAGAGCGCTGACAGTTGCGATGTAATTGTGTGAAGACATCAACCAAATCACCTTCCGCTGGTCCCGCTCGCTCCCCATCTTCGCCGCCGCCATCGTCCTCTCCAGCGTCGCAATCTTCAACTACCAGAAGTCGTCGTCGCCCGTGATCGCATCGACAATGTACGCCCTGCGCACCAACCCGCGGGCCCGCGAGCTGCTCGGCGACGAGGTCTACTTCAAGCACCAGATTCCGTGGATCTCGGGCGAGATGAACCAGCTGCACGGCCGCATCGACATCAGCTTCAGCGTCAAGGGCACCAAGGGCGAGGCCGTCATGAAGTTTGCCAGCTTCCGGACCTCGCACAAGGGCTTGTTCGAGACGACCGAGTGGAGCCTGGAGACGCCCGACGGCCGCAAGGTCGACCTGCTGGACGGCGCTGATCCGTTCCGGGGCATCGTTGGTGGGGATTTGGACGAGGATTTGGACGAGCCTGCGTCGGCGGCGACGAGAGGCTTTAGGCAGAACATCAAATAAGGGGCGAAGCAGTGGTCGTGCGAGCGAATCGAGGAATGGGCTGTCAAAAAGTGCGGTAGTAGGTGGTGGTCATTGGGATATTCGGGCGAAGAGAGCCGCCCAGTCATGCGCCTCGTAGGGGGGTGTAAATGTACAACATGTATAGTACACGGACTCATAACAACAACGGTTAAAATGGGAAAACACTCTTTACGAGAATGTCGAGTTCCTGATCTCCTTGAGTTGCAGGTGCCTTTCCCTTGCCTGCTGCAGTCTCGCCTTGTTCTCCGGCTTGCTCTTCAACAACTCCAACAGCTTCTCCTTGCGGTACGGCAATGCCGGCGCCTTCCTCTTCTTCGCATCCTGGATCTGCACGAGACAGTTCTTGGGCCCTCCAACAGCGCCCTTGACGAGCACGACGCCCAGCTCGTTGTCCACCTTCAGCACCGTCAGATTCTGCACCGTCACCCGCTCGTTGCCCATCCTTCCAGGCATCTTCTTGCCCGGCATGACTCTGGAACCGGAGCCTTGCGAGGGACCGGTGGTACCGATGGTACGGTGGTTCTTGGAGTTACCGTGCGATGCTTCCTGTCCAGCGAAGCCGTGGCGCTTCATACCACCGGCGAAACCCATGCCCCGGGTGTTGGAGCGCACATCAACATACTGGCCCGTCTGAAACCAGTCCGGGAACAGCTGTGAGCCAACGGGTAGCAGACCCTTCTCATCGCGGACCTTGAACTCGGCGAGGTGGCGCTTGGGCGCGATGCCCTTCGCCTCGTAGTATCCCAGCATTGGCCTGTCCACGTTGCGGGGTTCCTTGCTGCCCAGGCCGATCTGAACGGCCCAGTAACCGTTCTTCTCACGTGTCTTGTTCGCGACGACCTGGACCTGATCGAGCTGGAGGACGGTGCAGGCGACTCGTTTCTTGCCGTAGTAGATGGCGGTCATGCCCTTCTTGATCGCGAGGGCGCCGGTGCGGAGAGGAGTCGTCTTCTCGCGGCGAGCGAGGGCGGCAGCGGGACCGGTGGTAAGGACGGGGAGACCGGCCGTCGGCTGGTTGAAGCGGGCTGGCTTGCTGCGAGGGGGAGCGGTCGACCAGCCGTACTTTACACCTCGCTTCGCGGTGAAAGGGAGCAGGTGGAGGCGGGGTCCGGCGAGCGCGGCATTGGATGTCGTGGACGACCCGGTTCGGAGGAGCTGGAGACAGCTCGGAGGCAGTCGGGGCGCCATGGCGATGGCTGTGTGTTGTGGCAGAGAGCGTGGATTTGCACCGAATGACGCTCTGGTGGTCGTGATGGAATTTTTTGGGTGAGGTCGGATCAGAGTGCATGCGAGGTGGAAATCTCGAAGTGGCCCGTGCACACGCCAGAACGCCAGACCAGTCAGGAGCTTCACCCAGATTCTTCATCTTCTTCACGTTTACGTCCTGAATACATCGCCTTCAATTCTTCTTCACTTGGAACTCTCACCGGAGCACTTTGGAAGGGATTTAAGATGGCGTCCGTCCAGAATGCCAAGGCCCGTCTCTGGTATAGGATTCTATATCGCAACGCCCTCCGAGCCGTTCAATTCTCGGCGCCAGCTCGATACGTCGTTCGCGACCAGCTAAGGGCAGCCTTCCGAGAGAGGGACGGAAAGCTGAACCATCAGGTATGCCAGAGGACGAACTGGTTTCTACAAAATGCGGCCCAAGACAGGGGACTTGAGCACAAGATCCTCAAGAATCTCATCAACGTTGCATGTGAGCGTTACAAGAAGAAACCGTGGAAGGCCAATTACCAGAAGGATAAGGACAGGAAACATAAGCCCATGTGAGTATCCATTACGATCGAGTGCGTGTGATATGGATGCTGATTCTTTGTATTTAGGGTACAGGCCACTGAAGAGTTTACAACCACCTTTTACCACCACTTTGATATTACACTGGCCATGTTGAACAAATCGATGGGTTTGGCCTTGCGCTGTGGTCCCGTTTAATAGCATGCAGTGGACTGTCTCTTCTTTATTCGGAAGTATGATCGCATAGGCGAGGACGCCGACATGCCACTCATCACTCACTGGAGGCAAGTCAAGCTCGGCCTGACAAACATGTCGGACTGCCGCTGGAAGACGAATTTTACTGGTATCACAGCATACGCAGGATGCTTGGACGGCTCGTCGAGGCAGGCTCATCAGAGCAGCCTTTGATGCTAAGACTAACAAAACGCGCAACTTATTGTGGCGTCATGGTCGAAAGACGGCAAGACGGGAGGGAAACACGACGGCTCCGGGCGAAGATGCAGCCAATCCTCAATATCCGATGGTAACCTATTGGAGGAACCGACACCCTCGCGAGAAGATCGCTGGTGCGACTTTGCAGACCCAAGCGATCTGCAGGCGCGTGGGGTCCGCAAACTCAACAACGGCTCACCCATGGTTGGTTGAGCGCTTCTGCGAAATGGTGGCGGCGGCAGCCCTTTTGGAGCCATCGAGGGCTCTCCTCCGTCATGGAGGGTAATGTAGGGCAGGGAGGGGATGAGCGGCTAGGGATGCAGTTGGGATTGGGGTGGTGGTGGGATATTTGGCACGACCGAACATGACTCTCCAAGGTCGCATAAGGTAGTTCAGCAATTTGTCGCCGAGCCGCTGCTGGCGCCCGTTAAGTGCTGATTCTTGCTGTTCCTGAGCTGATCTGATCTCGCCGCTTAAAATGGAAGCCTGCTTTGAGACGCCCAAGGAGGCCAAAGATGACGGCGATGGAAATGCGGGTGGGATGAGGGGGAGACGTGTGTGGTGTCTGGACGTGTTGTGTAGTCCGAGGACTGCGGTTCGCTGGGAGCGACGCTGTTGTGCGTGATGGGAGTTACCCCCAATGGAAGGGTCGGGGGACAGAGCGAGAGAGAGTCAGATTTGGGTGCTGAGATAAGGTACACCGTGTTACTGGGCGTTCAGAATGGCACAAGGGACTGGGTTGGAAAATTGGAGAAGCTGGGGAGCTGAGGCGACGCTATCAGCTCCGTGTCGGAGCCAAGAAGTCTCGGCCGTCGCGCCGTGTCGGATCCCTTGGCCGGGGACGCTGGAAGGTGGTGCTGAAGTGGTCCTGTTTGTGTTTTGACTATCTCCAGATCGTCCGGACAAATACAAAAATAACGACCCTCGTCGGCTGTTATTCCGGGAGGCCGGCCAAAACATTGGACATGGCTCCGTGAAACCGCCGATACACTGCGTTGGGCCCGTTCGTTGTCGTAAGGTGGTCGACCGAGCCTGCGTTCAAGAGGTGAGCGACGCAAGTCCTCGAAACAGCGTCAAGTTGAGTCTACGGAGTCCACTTGGAATGTTGCCTTCTTCTCTCACACACCGTCTTGCAGTCCCTCCTACTGTGAGTGACAGTGTGGTTTCTCTGGCTTGTGACGGTGGGTCGACAAACGGTACGACGGTCCAGTGAGGGGCGGCCGGGCTGTTTAGTGTTAGCGGCCGCTAGGTATCGACAGCCCGAGCAAATGAGAGAGGCAGGATCGCTGGAGATCCAATGACCCCCCCCCCCCCCGTCCTCGTTGTAGCGGATACTTGCTTCGCAGTGTTCTCCCTGCGCTGTCGATGCCGCTGCTGCGGTACAGTGAAAGCCCGCCCGCAACCACCACCTGGGCTCAATGACCATCAGATGTCCTCACCACTACACTGTACCCTACCTACCTTGGCCTGGAGATGCCAATCAGGCGCTGTTTTGGATGTCTTTGAGCGGGGCAAAAGGGGGCCTCCCAGGTGCAGCTTTCCGCACCTCACCACGAACGGCCCAGGCTTTGGAGCTCCAGCTGGGCCTGCCGGATGGACGTGCTGCATCAACCTCACCTCACAGGCGCATCTCGGTGGAGTTTTGTACCTCCACACGCATCCAGCGCTGTGGCGGTACCTCGACAACCACGAGGAACGACGCAGCTGCGACAAAAGGAGGGAGGGAGCTGGTGCTGGGCAGGTCCAAGTACATGAACCTTGCCTCTCCCACGTCGTGCACTCATTCCATTGCCGACCCCGCAGTCCCAAGGTGCCAGTTGCTTTTACAAAGTGGTTGACGCCAGCCCTCAACTCTACTTGACCTGCTTCTCCTCTCAACTTAACCCGCAAATCTCCCATGGTTAGCGGGTACGACAGCGTCATTCTCCGGGGGTTCGGCCTTCGATCCCCAAACCATCCTTAAAGTCGTACTGCTCGCGTCCCAACTACCGGTCCATCTTCCTCGTGCTCGATCTCGAACTCGTCTCTCCTTTACCGAAACCCTCGAACCACCCAACTCTCTCCACCGGTGACAAACGCCCACCGAATACGGTCTGGATGGACCCATCGCCGCTGGCACCGTGCCGTATCGCGACCGCGCTGAGGACCTTGATCTCTCGCGAGATCACCGTCTAAAGGCGCTGCCGAGCTGCCATTGCTGGAAAGCATGCCCGCGACAGAAGTCGAATACCATCCAAGACACCATGTTCCGGTCCTCCAACCGACTGCGATCATGCCTCGAGCTCAAGAAGAGCGCCCGCAGAGGCTGGTCAAGCGGTACCGGACCGAAATCGCTGCAAGCACGTCGAGCATGTTCTCGACCGTCGTCGCCTTCCCCCTCGATAGCGTGAAAACGCGAATGCAAACCTACAGATATGAAGGATTTCTCGATTGCGTGAGGCACACTTATCGCACTGAGAAGCTGAAAGGCTTCTTTCGGGGTACGCGCCTCCAATACTTGCTCTGCATGCACTCCCACACCACACCACCACAACCCCTCATCTCGACTCGCGTACTCAATGACACTAACCTTTTTGCCCCCCTAAACAGGCGTCCTGGCCCCGATGGCCAGCGTCACTCTGGTGCGAACCATTTCCTTCTCGATTTACCAACGCGCCAAATACACGTACTCTGGCTGGATCAAGCAAGCCTGCGGGTTTGACGTCCTGCAGCACGTCAACAAACAGGGCACCTATCCAAACCTCTATTCCATAGCCTGCTTTGGGGCTGCCGGTGCCTCTGCCGGCTCCTGCATCACGCTTCTTGCTTGCCCTTTCGAATTGACGAAACTCAGCGCCCAGGTATCAGTCTTATTGTCTGACCAGAAGAAGCTCGCCGAGGCCAATTGTCGGGCTACGAATGGCCACCAGGTTGCGGCCAGCTACCAGAACAAGGGCACATTCAAAACTATGTCCAACATCATTCGCCACCGGGGTGCTTTGGGGCTCTACACTGGCTTCAACTTGCACTTGTGTAAGTCTGCCCAGGCGTACAACCCCATCCATCCCTCAGCTGACCCATTTTAGTGCGAGATACCTTGGGGACGGCCATATACTTCATGGTCTACGAGAGCGGCAAACAGCTCGGGACTACGTTTGGCGGCGACCACCCCACCACTAACAAACTAGCAGTCGTGGTCTCGGGTGGGCTTTGCGGGATAGTGTCCTGGGCAATGATCTGTATGGAATTGTCTTATCGTCAACGACGGATTGCGGAACGCTAACTGTGCCAGATCCCATTGACTCGGCAAAGAGCATCTACCAACGAAACTCTCTCTTGTACTCCAAGGGCCAGCAAGTTGAGCCGCCACCGAAGATTGAATTCTTCAAAAAACACATGTACCGCGGTCTTGGAGTATCCATGGGACGCTCGTGCGCTGTGAACGCTATTTTCTTCTCTGCCTTCGAATTCATGAAGAAGCACGTCAATTCACTCGATGATAACTAAGGGACTTATGTAATGAAGTACATGGCGACAACCGCATCGGAAACATTGACGGCTGCATCGAGGAAAGGGCGGCGGCGTTTTGGCTCAGTGCTCAGGATGGAGCCACGGGCATAAGGTCTGTTAACAAACAAACAAACAATATGTAAGGAATACGGGACGACTTCACGGACGATAGTTTAGTTCGTAGATTGGACTTGCAACGCAAACAAATAACGATTTTCAGCATGATGCATTTCGTCATTCAGTCACGCCGTGATCGTGATGCCCTCATTGATCCGCAGGAGGAGTTCATTACGTCTTAGAAGCTAGGGTTCAAGTTTGAAACAGCCTCGGATTCCTTGCCCAGTTCATTCGTGAGTAGTTCGGACTGCGCATGGCGTTTCGGTGAGAGTGACATGCTTTCTTCACCTGCTCGGTGTATGCTGCAGCCAAGTGCCGGCCCCTGCTTCTTTTGCGGGGCCGTGCACCATGCCCCGCAAAAGAAGCACGTGAAGATAACACTTCACCCGACGTCACGCAGCCTGCCCTGCCTTACGTAAGTTGCAACCCGACCAGGATCGCGTTGGGCGGCTTTGCATCCCATCCCATCTCTTGTTCCGAAACAACTGACCTCGCCCTCAGCCCTGGCGGCGTATGCTCATGCACTTCAAGCATTCAAGCACCGCGTCGCATCGCATCTCATCTACTGCACCTGCGCCTACCTCCCCCAAGTGCGAGTTGCTCTTGCCGAACTTGCTTGACGAGTCGCAGGGCTCAAGTATCCATCAGTGGACATTTGAATACCCTTCGTCTCCGTGATTTACTGTTGTTCTTTCGCGCAGCAAGTGCCACTTGCTGTCGTCATTTCGTCAACTTTTGAGGGCTTGAAAACCCAGGACGCTCTTGTGCCTGCCACACGTGGACGTTGTTGACTTGACTTTCGTCTTCAAGCCATTGCAAGCCTCGATCGTCACATTCACTAACTGTCTATCCATCTTGTTGCATCTTTCTTTCTTTTTACTCTCCCTACCTACCGGATCGTTATTGAGGTTTGATCCTCAAGCATCATGGTAAGCTGATAAAAAGCACAAGTGCATCGTCGAAATGGGGAGAGAGAAGAGGCCTCAGCCGGGCCCGGCCACGGCGAAGGACCGCCACAAACGAGCTGGGAAACCTAGCAAGACCCTCGATCGGAGCGTGCCCCTGCCGCCGGGACTCGTCGCCGCGAAGCCGGTCAACGCAGTCACGAACTCAAAGCACCAGTCTTATTTCGAGTTCATTGAGAACAAAGACAAGAAGAAGCCCCTGCTCTTCGAGGTACAGCCCGAGTCGAACATGCACGTCGGCCGCTGAGCGTTAAACTGAACCACAATCACAGATCACGGCCAACCGTCAACCACCGCCAGGGATGAAGTACATTCCAATGGGCAATCCAGAACTCACGGAGCGGTGCAAGGAGATATCAAGAGAAATTGGCGCTCTTGTCTACATAGTGGTAAGGCTGTCGGATTGAGAGGTATCAGACAAAGTACTTACGGGTTGGAAAGACATTCGCGAAGAAGGACGCGTCGGAACTGAGCCAACAGATCCACCGAGTCGGTCATCACATCCGCGAAAATATCGTGGATCGTGCCATGAGTGAACTGGGGCAGGATGCCTTTTACGAACCGACCACAACAGGACCAGACCAAGTCGAGGAGATCCCTCGCTCCCAAACGGAAATCAACAGGCAAGCCGATGCTGCACTGCGCGAGCTTTTCCCTCGCATTCCGCATACCGACAGACAGCAGATCATCGATCATGCGTTCAGAAAGGTTTGTTAATGCTTGCCAACTGCACGAAATGCGTGCGATGCTCACGGTTGCATAGGGCAAGCAGTTCAAAGGTGAACTGGTGGTGGGGTTGCAACAGGAGCTGTCGCTTTCGCGGCGCGTGCAGCTCGCCGTCCTCGCCCACATCCGGCACAACCACACGAGATACGACGAGCTCCTCCGCGAGACATCATGGCACAATGCCAGAAGAGCTACAGAGCAGCTATGTCTGGACATTCTCGTCAAGTGGCGAGGCGATGACGAGAACGGACGTAACCAACTCGACGAAATCCTTCGAGAGGTAGTCGTTCTATCTGATGATTCTGATGACGAGGATTCTGGCGAGGAGCCTGATTCCGACTCATCAGCCGTGCTCACCGACAGGTCCATGAATGTCGCAAGAGTCCCGGTGCCAACCATGCGTCAAGACCGTGCCAGCCGGAGCCGCATGTCGACGGCATTGCCGTCCCATCCAGGATCTCCCCAGGCAGTCGCTACGCCAGGAAAGAAACGGGTCAACAAGAAGCATCGCAGACGTGCTGCGAAGCATAAAGAGCGTAACTTCAGTAGGTACGAGGCTGTCGCAAATGCCAGATGGTCCGCAGCCATGAATCGGCAGAAAGCAGTGTCCAACGCGCAGCCGCAGGAGACCGGTGTGGTGAACGGTTCCGTTAGTCACGGAACGTATTCCCAAAGTCAGCCTGTTGTGTTCATGGATGGCAGGGCGCCAGTGATTGACCTCGGCCCTGGGCACCCGCAAAGGCCAGCGTTCGGCTCCTTTGCCAGCAACCCTTCTCGAGAGGTCAGGCCGCTCATGGACCGTTCCTTTGCTGCGCCGCCGATCGATTCTCAATATTTTGCTTCTGGTTCTTCGTTGCACAAGGTAAATGAATCTGGGAGTACGCCTGGCCACGGCTCCGTTGGTCCTCAGGGACCATCAAGCCGCCAGCTGCAGGATTATCTGATTCCTTCGATCGAGCCCAAGTCCCCTCATGCTAGCAAGCCCCCAATGCGCTATCAACGCCCCTTGGTGGAATACGCAGATCTTGGAGATGACCAGCCCTATCAGCGGAGAAGATCACCACCTCGAGGCCCCACCCTACGAGAAGCAGACCGGCTGTCCCCTCGCCGGAGGAGTCTGGGCTACCCAGAAGGTGCTCGGTCGTTCCATGACGGTCGTGAACAGCCGCGAGCTCCCCCTCCGGCTCGGGCCCCATCTTACATCGAGTTCGCACAGGATGTTGCTCGACTGCCAGCTTACCAAGCTCCGCGCCAGGTCGAACCTTCACTGCGGAGAGATGAGGCTGTACTGGGAGCGAGAGCCAATCCCATTATGATTGAGAATCCGCATGCTCGATCCCAGACTGTTGTTCTCGGTCCTGGAGAAAGTGTTAGGGACAGATTTGGCCCAGACGTGGAGATCCTGTCCGTCCGCCGCCCCCTGCGTGACGCCGGACCTGGCCTGGAACGTCGTGTTGCGCCCATGGACGAAGGCTTCATCCGCCTTAGAGAGGATCGTCCCCATTTGCCTCGGGATGGCCTGAGGGAAGAAGGTTTCCTTCGGATCAGAGAGCATCCTGATATTGTGCCACGTCGTTCCACCCCAGTGGCAAATAGCAGACACTCTCTGGGCGATCTAAGATCCACCTTAGACTCAGACCGGTACCAACCACATGCAGCACCTGGACAGGCTATCTATGTGAGGCGTGCCGAGAGGATGCCTCCGGCTGATATGACATACCCAGTTTCCGGCGGACGACGTTTTGAGGGTGCGATGAACGATAGACTCGCTCAGCGCCACATACCTTCGCCTGTGTATGATGGAGCGTAAGTCATGCGTCACGTAGAGATTTATTTCTCATCACCTACTAACTGCGAAATGCAATCAGACGCACTGGTGGTTATCTACCACACCAGCCCCAGGGAGCATACGGTATCCCAGTCCATCGGCATGCTAGACCGACAGTACGGGTTGACGACCCCCAGAGATTTGAGAGATACCCGCCACCTCCTCCTGGGCAGTCACAGTGGCCGCGTGCAAGCGACGATGTAATCATACTTGACTGATCACAAGCACGATCTCTACAACTGAGAAACGGGAGCATGTCTATGGCTCTCACCAGAGCCTCCAGCATTTGTGGGGCGTTGGAGGAAAGCATACATATAGTGAAGGACTTGGGGCCTTTACACCTGGATGGAAAGGTTAGGTTCCTGACTTTGGGACTGGTTTGCATTTGCATTAGAGGTGGGAGGTATAGAGAGATGGGTCCTGTTTTTGATACCCCTGCGGAACATGATAGCTGTGGAATAGCAGTGATTGGAGGAGCAGCAGTAGGACGACTGTTGTCCGGAGGTAGCAACGAGGCTGAGGACATTCATGAATCAAGAAGAATCAAAATATCAACGCCTGAATGGCTTATCGCGATATCATATACCGGTAGCATTTGCAGTGTGCCTCTGAAACTGAATCTAATGGCCGCCGCCCATAATGATGTAGGCCTCTCGATGTGATGGCGCAAGAACGCAAGTAGATGGGTGAATCCAAAACGCAAAGTGAAAGCAGTCGTACCGACCATCCTAACCTAGGGCCGCATCGCCGCGCAAGATGACAGGTGTATAAACATGAGCGTACTCAAACTCCATGAAATGCAACCGGCCTACGAATGCTAATCCGAACACAGACGCCTCATCACTGCAAAGGGAAGGAGGGAGGGGGGGGGGGGGGGGGGGAAAGAGAACGAAAACACATGGGAGGGCTACGTCATGACGCCAACATGGCCTGTCTCGTCCTGACAGGCTGCTGTGCTTCTTCTGCTTCTGGCTCGTCGGGCAAGACGGGTTCTGTGTCGGGGACCGTGGGCAGCTTGTGTTGTTTGGGAGGGTTGCGGGCCGCCTCCTCCGCGGCGACGCTTGCCTCCAGAGCCGCCAGCTCGTCTTCGACCTCTTCCTCGTCCTGATTCGAGATGCGACCGCCAAGCATATCGCTGACTTCCTGCGAGTGAGAAAAAAGACGACTCGTCAGCATTGTACTCAGCTAGACAGACCACCGCAGCTGTCCAAGAGCCCGAGGTCTGGGCGCGGCGGCGGCAGGAGCAACGAACCTTTTGGTAAGCAATGGCATCGGCCGTCTCACCCATGAGCTTCTCAACGTGCTCAATGCCGCCCATCTCGGAGTGTATCTCCTTCAGAACCTTGGTACCCTGCTGCAGGCCAAATACAACATCCTTCTGGATCATGGCGAACTCGACGGAGGAGGTGAGCTTCTCGAGCTGCTCGAGCTGGGCGTCCGTCTTTTGGAGGAGGGACTCCTGGTACTTTTTGCGGCGGAGGGCGAGGAGGGCGCGTGGCTTGTCGCCCTTTGCGAGCATCTGCTTCGCGATGGCGGTTTCCTTATCTGTCAGGACGGTGATGCGGCGCTGATACTGGTGGAGCTTGTCGCGTTGGAGCTTCATGTCGAGGATTGCCCTGCGGGAGGGTGCGCGTCAGTATTACGGTCTTGCAGAGACTACTCAAGGAGTGCATAGAGGCGGCGCATGAAATCTGCGACGCTGCGCACATGGGTCGTGAAGGTAGGGGAAGCAAGACTTACTTGTCCTGGGCGGTGACTTTACTTGCGTTGCCGCCCATCTCGACAGGTTTCTGCGGCGATTGGGAACTCTTGCTGTATTGTATGCACGATGACAGAAGACGTGGGATGCGCGAAAAGAAAACAAAGGGAGCGCCGTCGTGTGTGTGTATGCAGAGGAACGGACGTCGTCGGTGGTCGGGCGGCGATCGGGGGTGTGTTTGGCGGTAGGTGGTGGTGGTCTCGTGCTTTGCCCGGCTCGGTTTCGAGGCGCAACGCTGCGACGGGCAGCGGGCGGACCTGGCTGGGGAATGGGTGAGGGGACCAACCTACCCGCTGAGGAACACCCTGATGGGAATGTGAAGTTCGTCATTGCCCCATGTCCGACGTGGGGCCGAAGTCTTATCGATAAGACAAGAAGCGGCCGGCTTCGCGCGGGTTAAAAGGTACCGAGGTACTTGGGTGCGGTCTGCAACTTCATGTCTGTTTACATCGCGATGGCTTCAAACACCTGTTCTGCGCAAGTAAAGTTGCGAGCCAAATGCTCGCTCTTCTATGTCTCTTGATAAGAACCATCAATACTTCAAATCCAAGAAAAGTGAAAACCAAAAATGGGACCTCGTGTCCCATCCTCTAGGCCCCAACCTCGCGTGACGAGAATCGAACGGCGCCCCTCCAGGATTACCAGAAATCCTATGGGAGGAATTTTTTTGAACGTGTGATTTTACCAACTGGGTCACGCCGTTTTCGCTGAACTGGTTGAAAGAACTTGAGGCGGAAGTTGACCAAATACCATGGGAGTGAGGAAGGTGAGAAGTAGTGGGGCTGTCACAATCGAAGGAAGGAGCTGTTGCTCTTGAGGAAGGAGCGAGGGCAGCTGGATCCAGCCTTGGGCCAGTTCTAGGTGAAGCTTCGCTCACAAGGGGAGTAGCCACCCCTCTAAAGTGGTCATTTATGCACTTCCTTGCTGCCAGTGGCTAGCCGGTATTTTCCTGGTATATTCATCATCTATAGTTGTTCCACAGCCTGGAGATTTATATCGTTCGATGTTTATATGTACTTTAAGCCGTTGGTTTTCACGGTAGGGTACCCTCAATCGGTGGTTCTCATCACGGACCACAGCTCCGCCTCAAGCCATAACCAACAACACGAGCGCTTGCTAAGCCGCGGCTCATATTTAATCCCAATGAAGACGACGACGACGTTAGCAGCGACGACGGTGAATCAGAGCCTGTAACCACAGGAAATGTGGTCACTCTGGCACAGGGACAATAGGCGGTCTCCTAGACTATGTGATACTAACATCATCAATAGAGCGTGAGAGTAGACCGTCGTCTCGTTTCCAGAGTTCCACGATATCTGAGCACAAATATAGTCTTTCTGACCCGGCAACAGGAGTTTCGCTGAGCTGAAGTCCACGACCCTCCAGTGGCATCTTGGACTCGCTGCAGCCTGTCATCGACGCATATCAGAGTCTCTACTGTACGGCAACTGAACGTTAGATTTAACACTTCTAGATGAACGTATCAGAGTCCAGTGAGTCTTGAATTTCCCATCTCGGCTGCTATTATATATTACACGTGAGGCACTTCGTGCCGACAATCACTCTTGCTCCGGAATCACGTCTGCGATCATCCAGTGCGGTCGTCCAGCACCGCTCACTATTTGCTCAGCATGAGAATCATCCTAGAGATACCGTGGTCTTCATCTCATATGGGATCGAAGCCGAGGTTGTAAAAGTATGCTCATAACGCCGGAGAACAGACACAGAGCCCCTCAATACGATGTGTCTTGCTTCTGGAATCACCGACATACTTGGAGCATTCGTTGTGTACTCCGACCAAACGTCACGTTAACTTTGAAAGCTGAGTGTGTCTTATAATCGCCTGTGGATTCTGGCAGAAAATACCAGAGCCCACTGAGTCCAGTATCACATGTATGGGAATGGTGTCAATAATGTCATGACTTCGCTGTTCTTTGGTTGATTCGAATAAGTATGTCAATTGCCATCTCCTCATGCATGTCCGTAAGAAACCCGCCAAACGCATCGCGGCGACTGCCTCCTAAGGCTGGTTTGACCGAACTACCAAGTTCCCTATGTTTGGCAAAATAGCCGCTGAATTGCTGCTGAATTATAAGAGCTAATAGAAAATATGGCTTTATATGTCGACCTTCACACTTACAGGCAAAAAGAGCGCTTCCATGTGTATCATTTTGGAGCCATTGGTCACTTACATTAATACGCTTCAAGTACGGTGCAAGTGTGAGCCCTGCAGCTTACACGCGTAACTTCAAACAAGAGCACCAATACCTGAGCGATCTACATGCCTAGACACACCGTTATGCTCCGGTCTTGGACCGGTGGACGGGCCGTGTGTGGGTCTGCTCAAGCATCACTACTCCGGGCTCCGGCCGGAGCCCGACCACATCGGCCCGGTAACCTCATCTGACAGCAACTACCTGCGCAGAGGAATTCGCCGCGCGGACGGAAGCAGGCTTGTCGTATTCGTAAATCTCACAGACATGCAGCTCGCTTCCTTTGGGCCTCGCACCGCCGGCTTGTTTGGTCCTGCAGCGCCGCCTGGACCTCTCCGATGAGAAACCGCCCGACCGGCGCCCCGTGCCCATCCTGTCCGGGGAAGCTCATCGGCGCCGAGTACCTGGCCGCAAGAGCAAGAGCAAGAGCAAGTGCAAGCTCAAGCTTCATTCGTGCTCCTGAAACATCCCCCAGCAAATGCAAACCGCAACGGCAGAGTTTTCCTCGCCATCAACTAGCTCCCGCGGACCCGTGTACGAGAAAGTCTGTGTCCTCCGACGACAACGGACTGATCAACCTTTTCGCCTACCCGGAAGCCTAACCTTCAAACGCTTTAACTCTTACATAATTAATGTCACTGTTTGGCGTTGAAAGGATTGATCGCCCAAAATAGCCCCTGTTGTAGGTAACAACCCAAAGCGCCGCTCGACTTTTGTTGAGGGTTTGGGGTCTTCAAACAAGTTCCAGATATGGTTGTTGCCGCTGGATACAACATCACCCTGGCGAAAAGGCAACCCAGCGTAAAGTCAAGTATGCATACAATGCCACCATTTTGATTCCCGCGTTGTCAACTTTTCCATCGCCACCTACCAAGATAGCAGGAAAAGTTTGGGTGTTCCATTCTCGTCGTCCAAAGTCAAGGATCCCTGTCGTTGCTACTGCCATCGCTCCATGGCTGACCGGGAATCGCCAACACAACAACGATTAACTTTCACGGCACTGCCCGCAACCCCGGCAGATGCACGTCTTCCGTTCTGCAACGCCAAAACTTGATATTGCGACACTACAGAGAACAGATAGGGGCAGTCAAGCCAAGAGGGACAAACACCAAGAGGTTAAAATAAAACTAAAAAAAAAAATAAAAAATAAAAAAAATAAAATAAAAAATAAAAAATAAAAAATAAAAAATAAAAAATAAAAAATAAAAATAAAAATAAAAAATAAAAAATAAAAAATAAAAAATAAAAAATAAAAAATAAAAAATAAAAAATAAAAAATAAAAAATTATTCACACTCAATTGACCAAAGTGGTATCAGTGTCGCACTGAAGATATTCAGTCTCCTGAAGAAGGCATTCCATCTCCGCCCGCTCATATCCGTGCCGCCCACATCACGAGCCGGTTTGCACAGCGGACAGCAGAAAAACTTGCTCGGTGGTACCATTCGGCTTCGGAGATCTGCAACCACAGTGGGAAACACCCGTCTACCGTGGCATTCCCCCAGACGGCCAGCGCCGTGAAGCGAGCGAGCGATTGACCGGCCGGCCCGCCGATCACTCCAAACCACCAAAGATTGCGTGTGTGGCCCCCGTCCCGCTTTACAGACTTGGGGGCTTAGGAGATCGACTTTGGGCAATGATGGGCAGAATTCTCCAGCCGCCGGGCGCGCCGTTTTCAACACAAAGAAGGGGGCGACCCGGACACTGAAGGATTCCAGGCGGCCCGGATCAACGAACGCCAGCTATTTTTTCTTCTCTAGAAACAGGGTGCATTCCCTAGCGGAACTCTGCCATCGATCGGGTCCAAGGTCGTTAGTCGGCAAACCAACGGGTTGGTGTGGTAGATGCTATGTAGAATCATGTGTCCCGGCTGGGCATCAATATGCGATTCGATCAATAACTTCTTCACCCTGGCATGTGCATTGAGGCCCAGGATCAATGCAAACCTGCCAGCAACGTCGTGAATCAGTCTGAATGTGATAGAAACCGTAGTTATCTACGAAAAAGTCGTCCCCCTTGACGGCCGATCATCGCCATCTCGATGAGGAATTACGAAAGGGAGTCACGCTCTCGAAACCCGACCAACCGACGTCCTCACATGGTCCCGTTTCTTATTGCATGTGGCTGCGAAGATCTCCGCGCTACTTGATTTGGGCATCACCGGCGCCGCTGACGAAGCCGATCCTGCCCCGTCGATGAGGGAGGCCGGCGGACCCAGGGATGCGGACGGCGCAAGACGGGCGCCAGCAGTCCGATCTAAACGACGCGTGCGCGCCTTACAGAGGAGTCAACGGCGGGGGGCCGGTCACCTGCTAAACCAATCTGCGCCGGTTCTCTCGGCTAACCGTGACTAACTTACATCATCCTTCGTCTTCGCTTGGTTTTTGTGTTTTTGAGGCCTGCATCAACAGACGCGATATCCTGGGGAAGCGTGAGGGCTAGGCCAAAGCTAGCAAACCGAATAAACATGCCAAACAATGCAACTAAGTGGATTGAAGCATCGTCGAGCAGGTTTCTTGTTTAGTGGATTGCCCAAGGATGACTCCTCCTCCTCGACGATGTTCATGTTCTTGTTCTTGCTGCGCACTAAAATGGTGCGATTGCACAAATTGTGCACAAAGGGGTGTGTCTATGGAGAGAGCATAAGTGGTACTTGCTTCTCGAGTGGGACCCTCAGGAACGCACACCCCCGGGTCTCTGCTACGTTCACTCCTCCGAGCGGGCTGCGGCGGCCGGGGGAGGCTGGGAGGGCCGCAGCGTCCCCCAAGTCTCCGGTGCTTGCCGGCTCTCCCCGGCCTGTGACGGCG